TTTTTTTTAAAAATATTTGCTGCTCTTCCCTGATTTCATCCCATCATCAGCTGCTGCTATTTTTATAGAGAACCACACACATACACACACGGGACTCCCTTCCTATCACCCACAGCTTTGTGGAAGTCTTTGTTGGAGGGGGGGGGGGTGTTCTTCCTGGATCTCTGTCAGGATTTGGGGGACTCTGATGGTCCTCTCAGAACGCTGTCCGCTGTCTGGACGCGGCCCGGCCCCGCTAACGCACCACCTCTGAGTCTAAATTTAGCTCAAACTGCCGGCTTACGTAACGACTCGGCCCTCATCTTTTCGGGACGACTGAGCCAGTCCAAAGCGGGACCAAAGCGGTCCGAGGCCGGGCTCTGGGTCGGTCCCGGGTCCGCTGGCCCGTGTCACATCTGCTCTTCTTTTGCTCCACGGCTTCTTAACCGGGTGCTGTTTGTTTCATTTATCAGCAGAAAAGGGAGGACCGATTCCACCCGAACGCCACACAGGAAGTCGACGCTGTCTGTGGCACTGGGACGACATTTTCTTGTCGTCTTTTTGCCCCTTTTTGACACGATTTTCCACTTGTGGTAGAATCTCTTGGATCAGGTTCCAGCTCCTAGTGTCTCACATGGTATTGTCCACAGAGTGAAGAGCAGCCATTAACCCGTCTCCTCCTCCAGATCCACACCGTCTGGAGGGAGGAAAACCAAACCGGTCTGAGTTTCTGGTCGGCCCTGGTGAGGGAATCCTGTTATTGGAGCCATGTTAGGAGTCCCCTCCATCTCTGGCTCTGAGTGGTCAGCAGGGGGGTCAGGAAGTTCTGTGAGAGTTGTATCTGCCTCCCTCTGGTTCAGGCTGTAAAACTGACCGGCCGTATTGGTCCCGTCTGCTCAGCCATTTCCTCCAAATGCTCCAAACACGCTGGTTTCTGTTCTTTTTAAAGGAACACACAATCAGCAGCTTTTAGCTGGTGACCCTCATGTTCCTTCCGTGTTGTTCGACTTCTTCTGTTTGGGCCTTAGTGTTCGGATCTTTTATTATCAGCGTGTTATATCGTGTCTGTCGTCCCGTATGAGGAACATATCTACTGCATTATTTACACTACCTGCTGTGTGTGTGATGGATAGTTCTCTTTGTTTGCTTTCTCTCTTTGAACGGGTTTGACTCCAGGTTCTCCCTCTGGGGACCCAGAAAGGACTCTGATTCTGGAAAGCAAACTCATTAGCTGTGAATTAGCCTCAGCCCAGACGTGAAAGTCGGCTCTTTTGGGACGGAGGTGGATTTGAACAAGGCCATGCTTTTTTCTCGTCCACATAGCTTTTTTTTTTTGTTTGTTGTTACTTTTAACACACGCTTGAAATTGTGCCAGCGCGTTGCCTTCGTTAATTAATCTCAGCAGAATAGGTGAAAGCCGGTTATTAAAAAGAAAATCCTCCTCTGGTGAGGAGGAATGCGAGCACACCTTGATCTGCTTTTAAAGCCGCTCGCAGGTGAGATTAATCAAAGAGCAAAAGATGGTTCAAGGAAATTTTTTTTTCATCTGTTTTGCTCTTTGATTACGAGCCTTTGTGTGTAAAATAAAGTTTGGCTAACTCTCAGCTTTTGCTGCAAAACTCAAGGACGGCTGATTCTGAGCCCTCCATAAGGAAAGGCCTGACAGGTGGAGGAAAGGTGGTGCTTTTTAAATCGCATCCCAGACCAAAAAACTGTCTCCTTCTCTCAGCTTTGATTTCTGTTTTTGTTTGACGTGGAGAAACAGCCGGTTCGTGTCCAGACCCTCGTATTTCTGTGTCTTAACAGACTCTTTTTTTCTTTTTCTTTTTTTTTTGTTTTCGCTGGCGGTGTTTTCTTCGTTTCTGGAGAGCCGGGGCCCTGACCTGCTTTACCAAGAAGAGCAAAAGCAGCGGGCCGTGAAAGACACAAGCCTCGCACTGTTTAATGACAGATGCTCAACAGGCCGAATGCCTGAGCCTCCTCCCTCACGCTCACACACTCCCACACACTCGCTCTGCGGAAGACTGGGGCTCCTGCATCTTGTCAATCAAAGCTGTGTGAGAGGAGCTGGAGGTCTGGGAGCTGAGCGCTTCTGGATCTTACACACATCGTTAACTCTCTCTGCTCCGGGCCAAAAGGAACTCCCCCAAGTCTCTCCAGATTGTACTCGCCCTACTCTGTAATATCCAGCTATTGCACAAGCAACGTTTTTTTCTGCCTTTTCGGGTTAGTAGATGCAAATTATAAGGAGGATTTTTTTCCACTTTTCGCTCAGCCTCCGACACCTTTTGTCCTTCATTTCAGACGAAATCAAAACTAATCCGATCCACACAAGACGATATCAGGAGGAATGCTCTAAAGATCACACAGTTGCCTGTTAGATTTACCGACCTGTAGCCATTTTTAGAGCCCGTTTATTTTAGTTTTCTGTCTCAGGAAGTGGGATTCTTAACGTTGAGGAGCACTAAGGTCAGATGGACCAATCGGGGCCAAACGGCAGCCCGCTTTGGATGTAAGGGAGGCAAATGTAGCTTTTCTGCTTCTAAATGTGCGATGTGCAGAGCAAACACCCCCCCATCACAATTAGCCGACCCATTAAAAGCGGCAGGCTAAGCGTAGTGAAAAGCGTCCGTAGCAAAATAATAATGCCCTTTTAATGGTCTAAATGGTAGCGTTTGGACCTTTTTCTTGTCTTTTTTTAAATACCTGCCGTCTGGCTGTGGACCGACCGGCTAACGGAGCTGTTTGGCCTCATTATCAGGCCAGCACCAAGTCGTCCGTGCACGAGATGTACCTGTAAGCAATTAACCGGTTGTCTGTAAATGATCCGGCGTGGGGTGTAAATCTCAGAGATGGGTTTCTGCCTCCCTGACACCAAACGTACTAAAAGTCTGTCACGTTCCCCCTCACCTGCCTCCTGCCGCTTTTATCTAATCCCAACCTCCAGACCAATTATTGCCCTGTTAGTGACCCAGGCCGGGCCGCGGGCGTCGGCCAATCGGAGGCGGAGGTTTTTTTTTTCCCGCTCCGTCCTAAAAGGGCTCAGCTCCGGGTGTGATTTTCAAACTTGGACAGGTCCGATTGTGCGTGTCGCC